CCCCCCCACACCCCCCCACACAACCCACCCCCCACCCCCCCCACCCACCCCACACCCCCCCACACCACCACCCCCCCCACCCCCCCCACACCCCCCACACCCCCCACACCCCAAAAAACATGTATACCGTCCCATTCAACGAAATATAATTATATACTTTTTCCAGTGTCCGCCCCCTCCCCGAAAATTCTACCCCCACCCCCCGAAAATTTCAAGTACCCCCACCACTCTCCGGGGAGGAAAAAGTCTAAATTAAAACCACCCCCCCCCCCACTCACCCCCCCTACCCCCCCCCCCCACCCCCCCCCCCCCCCCCCACCCCCCCCCCCCCACCCCCCCCCCCCTCTAAAAAAACATGTCTACCGTCCCATTCAACGAAATATAATTATATACTTTTTCCAGTGTCCGCCCCCTCCCCGAAAATTCTACCCCCGCCCCCGAAAATTTCAAGTACCCCCCACCCCTCTCCGGGGAGGAAAAAGTCTGAAAGAAACACTGGTGTCGCGCTTAGCCACTACGCGAAGAATTGCATTAAAGAAATTGCGAGAAAACCACTTTTTAGATTAGACACATTAATTAGGCGGTCATTTTATTATAGAGTATCGATGAGGAAATTTCTTTTGAGTTGGGGAGGGGGGGGGGCTCAGACGTTCTTACGCGGGGGGTGGGGCTTCGCCCCTACTCGAAGAATCTATGCAAGAAACTCTTCACGCAAACCATTTAGATTAGACAAACATTTCCTTTTTTCAATGTTTCAATGACGTCATTACATTACTGTGTGCACTCTCTGGTTTGAGATTATGTTCTACTCTACGCTAAATGTGTCGACGTCATATTTCAGTTTTTCGAATTACTGTGCAGGTTTTTAAATTCCTTGTGTTTTCTCTAGAGCGTTCTTGTCAGACAGATAGATAGATAGAGAGACAAGCGAAACTATTATTATAGACGAGAAAAATGGCCCGTTGAGGAAGGATACACCGGGCGCTAGGCTGATAGTAAACTAAAACCACCCCAGCCCCCCCCCCACACACACCCCCACCCCCCCACACCCCCCACCCCCCCCACACCACCCACCCACCCCCCCACACCCCCCCCCCCCACACACCACCCCCCCACCCCCCCACCCACCCCACACCCCCACACCACCCCCCCACCCCCCCCCCCACACCCCCCAACACCCACCCCAAAAAACATGTATACCGTCCCATTCAACGAAATATAATTATATACTTTTTCCAGTGTCCGCCCCCTCCCCCGAAAATTCTACCCCCCACCCCCGAAAATTTCAAGTACCCCCACCACTCTCCGGGGAGGAAAAAGTCTAAATTAAAACCACCCCCCCCACTCACCCCCCTACCCCCCCCCCCCCACCCCCCCCCCCCACCCCCCCCCCCCCACCCCCCCCCCCCCTCTAAAAAAACATGTCTACCGTCCCATTCAACGAAATATAATTATATACTTTTTCCAGTGTCCGCCCCCCTCCCCGAAAATTCTACCCCCGCCCCCGAAAATTTCAAGTACCCCCCACCCCTCTCCGGGGAGGAAAAAGTCTGAAAGAAACACTGGTGTCGCGCTTAGCCACTACGCGAAGAATTGCATTAAAGAAATTGCGAGAAAACCACTTTTTAGATTAGACACATTAATTAGGCGGTCATTTTATTATAGAGTATCGATGAAGAAATTTTCTTTTGAGTTGGGGAGGGGGGGGGGCTCAGACGTTCTTACGTGTGGGGTGGGGCTTCGCCCCTACCCGAAGAATTGTATGCAAGAAACTCTTCACGCAAACCATTTAGATTAGACAACATTTCCTTTTTATTATTCCATGTTTACGCGATAATCAATGACGTCAGTGCACTAAATGTGGCGACGTCATACTTCGTCTTTCGTTTCACTGTGAGAGTTTTTATTTTCCTTATGTTTTCTCTAGAGCGTTCTTGTCAGAATTTTTGCTTATGTTTTCTCTAGAGCGTTCCTTTTTTGCTTATGTTTTCTCTAGAGCGTTCCAGAGCGTTCTTGTCAGATAGATAGATACACAGACAGCGAAACTATTAGTATTAATTTTAATATGAGTAGCTAGATCTATAATGATTACATTTTGTCTTGAGTATTTAATTTTTTTTTTTAAACTTGATTTTTTTTTCAAATATGATAACTTCAAATTTTCAATCAGAATATGGCCTTGAAAAAGGACATGGAAAATATTTGGGGGTTACATTTTAAAGACACACCTCCGCGTTTTATTGGTTAACAAAGAGGTAAAAAGGTCACGGTGGAAAGCTTTGTAAACATCTAGATCTAGGCCTACAACACTTCTGACTAGAGTACAGTCTCTTGCGACAGCACACGTAACATTATTTTAGTGTTGGCGTTCTTTGTTTGCAAACAGATCTGCCTGGCCATGAAAATAGACTTACACACACATATATTGCCAGAGAACTGGCCTGATTTAAAAGAGGTGAATTAATTTGTAATTTAGGACTAGATTCTATTTTATATCACTTTTTTTATAGGCCTACGTACGTTGGCTAGAGGGAGTAGAATTGAATGTTGTTTTTTTTTTTACTTTTCTTCTTACTTACTTACCTGCTTAATTTACTTACTAGGCCTACTACTTAGAATCTACTTACATTATATTATTATTATACCTAGATCTAGAGATCCACTAGATCTAGATATCACACAGTACTCAGTAGGCCTAATAAATTAAAAATAGGGCTTAGGCTGAACTAAACAGCTATTTTCAAGTATTTTGGCAGTGTTTGTTTTACATGCACTCCAGCTCTAGATCTAGGACAGGTAGTCTAGGACAGTCTAGATCTAGGTCCAACCAAGCCCTGCCCTCAGTGTAGGGCGGTCTACTGCAGCTATATTACTAATATTATTAGACTTCTAGGTTTCAATTTGTATACTGTATAGTCTACTCTTAACTCGTAATATTACGAGTTAATATCAGGCGGGTTAGGGCCTATATTTATTATTATTTTATAATAATTATATTAATTAGGACTAGTTGAGTCTGAGATAGTGGTTGAGCCCAAGTAAGTATTAGCAGCTTTTGGTAATGTCCAATTTGGAACCTCACACTGGCAGTAAGAATACTCCAGTTTTTGAAGCCCTCCCCTCCGAGCATTATTGCAATTCAGACTTAATAAAAAATTAAAATTTACATAGGCCTAGAAAATATATATACTTTAATCCAGCTTCCCCCTCCCCCTGAAGGAAACTGTCTGAAAGAAACCCTGGCTGAAACTTGCCAGTTCTTGTAAAGAAAGGGTGATTCACACAAATTTTAATAAAATTCTGCTGAGTCTCCCCCTTTATAGTGTCTAGTCATTTATGGATAACTCCTAACTAATACTCATTCTGGAAGTTTAAATTGTAGAAAATCACTGTCACTTCACTGCTGGGGTGTAATAGCAACAGAAAATATTTTGTAATCGTAAGCTTATTTTTAAGTTCATTAGCTTAGATCGAGCATTGCCGTCAAAGACTGCACTAGGTAGTCTTAAGAGTAGGGTCAATCTAATGTTGAGGAATAACAACCTTATAGTTTGCTTGTAATAACCATCTTATCATCAGCGCTATGGATATGGTGGCTGGGTTCAACTTCATCACCACTGTGCGGGCAGGGCAAAAATGATGAAAGATGGCAAACTCTTCAGAGAAATTGAAGAAAACTGCTGGTCACCTGAAGCAAGAATAAAGGAGATGGATGCCACTGGTAAGTTGTTTACTGTAGGACCACATAATTATTTCACTGCATATATTTTTAAACCTTATAATTATCATTAAATTTTGTTACCCACCTATTGCTCAGTTACATTATTATTTCAGGTGTTGACATTCAGGTATTGTCAACTGTTCCTGTAATGTTTGGCTACTGGGTGAGTATGTTGCAGAATTTCAAAAACTTTTTAATATTTATTTATCTTATTATAATTTTAACCTTATTATAAGTTTATTTACAGTCAACTTATTAAACTGTCTATTGGCAGGCTGAGCCTAAGGATACTCTTGATCTTTGTGAAATGTTGAATAACCATTTAGCCGATGTTGTCAGGACATGCCCTTCTCGTTTTGTGGGCTTAGGCACTATCCCCATGCAAGCCCCAGAATTAGCTATAAAAGAGTTGATTCGTTGTAAAAAAGAGTTAGGTATGTGTACATTTATTTTGTACCAGTTGAATATCTACAGCGTGTTTATTTTAAAAAGATTGTTTATTGTTAAGTTATTTAAATTTTTAAAATGTGATACAGGGTTTCCTGGTGTCCAAATTGGCTCACACATTAATAACTGGAATCTTGATGCACCAGAATTACAGCAGGTTTTTGCAGTAAGTTTAAAATTAATACTTTGAACCCCAAACCAAAATGTTAAGGTAACACACCAGTAGAAATGTTTTGATTAAATAATCTGATTTTACCCTAAAGTAACAATTGTAGTTAATTCTTTTGAATGTTATTAGCATCTATTGGAATAGTCTAAGGGCAAAAAAAAAATGAACAAAAATATTAATAACCATTTGTTGTTTCATAAATTGAATGTTTAAATACTTTTTTCAGGCTGCTGAAGAACATCAAGTTGTTATTTTTGTCCATCCTTGGGATATGGAGCAAGGTGGTCGCATGCAGAAGTACTGGCTGCCATGGCTTGTTGGTAATGAAAGCATGTTTTGTCAGTTCATTAACAATTACACATTTAATCAACAATTGTACGCTAAAAAGTTTTAATATCTAAATATTTTACACTTATTACTAAAGTATTACTATGTATGTGTTAAGGAATGCCTGCTGAGACAACTATAGCGATTTGCTCAATGATATTTGGTGGAGTTCTAGAGAGATTTCCTAAATTAAAAGTCTGCTTTGCTCATGGAGGTAAATTAGTGTAACAGTATATTGAAAGTAAGACACTGAACTGAGATTAAGATTTTATTTATTTGAAAAAAAAAAATGAATTAATAATTATTAAAAACCTAAATAGTGTAAAATTCAATTTTGATCTAAAGTTTCTCCAATAATTGTGTTTTAAATATAAATATTTGAAGATTTAATTTGCAACATTTTATATCTATTTTTTTTATAACAAACTTTGTAAAGTATTCTGTGATAGTAATAATACTTTTAATAGTTTCTATCAATTTTTTGTCTTTTTTGTAGGCGGTGCATTTCCTTTTACAATAGGCAGGATAGAACATGGCTTTGAAAGCCGACCAGATCTGTGTGCTGTTGAAAATAATGTAAATCCAAGGAAATACCTAGGTCAGATATACACAGACTCACTTGTGCATGATGAAGAAGCGCTAAGACTTCTAGTCACTGTAATTGGTCAAGTAAGACATTTCTTTATTAAAGTCAAAACAGTTGGATAGCTTGATTTTTAGTTTATCCCATATTGGGTGAAGATCACATTTTATTCAAACGTGTAGTATTTAATGTTTTTCTACATATAATTTTTCCCCCAATATAAGTTGTTTGCATCTGAATTTCCACCTCATTTCAACATTCAATTTAGATTTTTTTTAAATTTATTTGAACCTTTAGTTTGAATTCACATTTTTAAATTTCTTAACTTTCAACAGAATCGTGTAATGCTTGGTAGTGACTACCCCTTCCCACTGGGTGAGCAGCATCCTGGGAAACTTGTCGAGTCAATGAAGGATTTTTCACCTGAGTTAAAAGTAAAACTTCAATTGTTAAAATAATCATTTTCAAATTAACTTGGTGTAAAGATTTGCAAACGTTTTCTTTTGTATGCATTTATTCAATGGTTTAATCAAATTAAAAAACATTCTGACTTTTAATACCATTATCCATGTAAGTTATTGAAATATATATAGTTAATGCACATTTAAGCAGCTGTTTGTTTTTCTCTATTTATTAAAAACATTAACACATTATGGTGCTTTATAAATAAACTTTTTAATTTTTCAATCTTTGCCAGCTTGTACTCTCTTTGTTTATTCTTACAGCACCAGCTTTTGGCAGGGAATGCAATGGAGTTTCTTGGCCTACATCCTAGCCAATACAAACCTAGTATCGGAAAAGAAGTTGAAATGGAAACGGATGTCAAGTTGAGAGTTTCTTAACTTGTGAAGTACTGCTCTCCTCAAGTTTCAAATTGCTGTTAAAAATGTTATGTTGTGTAAACAGATGAATTAAACCGAGTGCCCTATTTACTTTTTTTCTGCACATTTATTATATGTTTATATTATTAATTATAAAGTGTATTTAACTTAAAATTTAGGGTAACTGATTGATTTCAATTTATTTTTTAAGTATTGAAGATAACTTTTTGAGTGTTGTTAACAGTTGAATTGGTAGTCAATGTAAATTAGGTTAAATATTAGTGAAGTCATATAAATTGTATTTATAAAGAAACTTGAAATAAGGTGATGCGTTCAGTATTATTTAAATCTCTAAATGAATTAGCCTATGTAGTATTTGATTCAATGTTCAATTTTCTTAAGTTATTTACATATAATCATGTGTTCTAATAAAAGATGCACATCACACGGGTATGGTAAGCAACTAATATGTTGTTGTAAATGGCTGATAGAAAAGTCATTTCATGTATAGATTATTATACTTAATTAAACTTAATGAGTGAATTAAATTTTCTTGAAAGGTTTAAATTGCTGTAAAAATTATTTTCTATTAAGTACTATTTTAAATATTAATATTTTACATGTCTACAGATTCTGAATTAAACAGTTTTCTTGTGATAATGTTTAAAATGTAAATGATAAAAATTACTTAAATGGAAATGTACTGAAGTAAAAGCTTAAGATTATGTTGTTTTGATTTGTAAGACTATTGTCTATCACTCTTATTTGTACAGCACCTTTTAAAATGTAAATAAAATGAGAAAATTTACAAATTCATCACAGCTTTTATTTATGTATAAAAAATTTCACACCAGAGTAGATTTTAAGTGTTCCTCATGAATACTAATTTTTTCTGAGGTTAATAAAGATTTCTTTTTTTCTATTTCCTCTGCCCTCCGTTTTTCTGCATAATCATCCATTACTTCTCGTAATCTATTTTTAACAGATAACACATTTACTTTTTTCATTGCTGACATAGTCAGAATGTCATCAAAAACTGGCAACTCAGCTGGGTGAAACTGCTTATTCACTTGGTCCAGTGAATCTGTAAACACAATAATTTAACAAAGCATTATTATCTAAAATATATATGTTTCATGCTTTATGTGAATTATTTAAGATTAAAATTGTTTTAATTTATAAGTCAAACCACACAAAAAACATTTTTCAATATCACCATTTGTAAAAAATGGCAACTTTAATTTGACAAATACTGGAAAATTTCAAAGGCAAGTTGTCGCAGATACCCAGCAAAATAACAATAATAGAACATGTCATTGAAATAGTGTTGTGTGAGCTTGCAACATGCAAAATTCTGATCCACCATCCAAAGTTCAGAAGGAAATTAATAATTAAACTGTCAGATTTAATGTACACTGTACACACAGTTATAACTTGAGGAAAGGGTAAATCAGATTATGCATCTACTATAGACTTTTTAAACAAGACAATGACCCCAGAAGCAGAGCCCCTATATATTTATATGTGAACACCTGCTTGCCTCACTAAAAACTATACCAAATATTTCACAAAGCTCACAAATATTTCACATGGGTATTGGTGTTTTTCCATTAAAAAAGAAGTGAAGCCATAGACAGCTTTTAAAAAACACCTTTAAGTTGAATTAAATGACATTTAAAAAGGCTGATGAGCAAAAGAGACAGGTATACCGTAAAAAGAGGACATTCAACCTGTATATTACTGACATCACTATATCTGCTTTTGTTTCCATGCTGAGCATTTTTAAATAGTATTAATTTTCCCCTCACGGACTAAACCAGCTTCCAGACACGGTACCTCCTAGTATATTTTGGAAGTCTGGTGTTGGTTCAATATTAAATCTCGCAAAATGAGTGCCCAGCATTTGCATTTGATACTTTTGACTACCAGATAAATTAAGATAAGTTATATTTTTACAAATGCACTTTCTATTTTTGTTGGTGGATTTCTTTTCTAACTTTATATATTATATAATATTTTCCCTGTTCGATTAGATGCATAACAAACAGACTGGGAGTGATAGCTTGGACTGGTGACTTTTATTTGACATTCCCACAGGTGAAGCTGACAACATCTCAAAGTTGTATGTAAAAGACAGAAATAATTTTACTGTTTTTGTCATTGTCTGAATATGTTTTACATATTTTATGTACCTACTCTTTAAAAAATATTCTGTCCCAGAACAACACCTTGCAGAAAGAACAAAGTATTTACCTGGCAAGTTATTTACCAAATCCAAAAGCTGATTGACTTTGGCCTGACTAGGATCTGTATCCACTTTATTAAGCACCAATACAGAAGGTTTATTTATCATACCATTTCCATACTCAGACAGCTCCTGTATAAAAAATTATCACATTTTTAAAAAACAAACAATTTCTAAAATAATATCAGTTCAATTAAAGCAGGGGTTCCCAACCTTTTTTTACTCTAGAGCACATCCTAACATATCGGTAGGGTGGCGGGCACCACCTATTTTAAATCGACAAACTCCTTGCAGAGGCGTAGCGACCCTTCCCTTCACCCGGGGACAAAACTTTCGATTTGCACCACCCCCCCCTCAAATTTTCGATTTGCACCCCCCTCAAACTTTCGATTTCCATCCCCTTTAACCTTTCAATAATGTTTATGAAAAAAATTCTGTCTCTGTCGAATAGTGAGAGGCGGGCACATACGAATCGTTCGGCGGGCGCCATGGCGCCCGCGGGCACGGGGTTGGGAACCCCTGAATTAAAGCATTTAAAAAAAAATAGTTTGCAAAAGATTACAGCCATACCTGAATAAGCAGCAATAGTGTTTCAAACGCAGATCTCATTGGGTATTGAAGAGAAAGTTGAAATGGGTTTATATCTAACACATACAACAACACTTTAGTTCTTTCAACGTGCCGCAAAAATTTGAAACCCATTCCAAAATTTTCATGAGCACCTTCTATTAAGCCTGGCAAATCTGCTACAGATATCTGAAATTATTTTAATAAATCTCTTTAATTTTTGTTTTAAAAAAAATACAATTTGAGTAAACAAGATCAACTATAAGTACACATAAATATATTGAATAAATGTTTTACCATTCGACCATCTTCATATTGCATCATACCCAGTTGAGGAGACAAAGTTGTAACTGATGACAAAAAAAAACCTCTGGTTAATTTTTTTAGAATACTACTGGAATATCACAGTTGTAATACAAAAGGAATTGTTATACTAACATGGATAAGCAGCAACTTTAGGTTTTGCAGCTGATATTGTTCGAAGGAAGGTAGATTTACCAGCATTTGGGAACCTGAAGTGGAAAATATATTTTATGAAATAATGTACAGTTAATGTAATTGTAGTTCACAAAAAAAGTAAGTAAGTAAGTTAACAAAATAATGAAATAATTGTAAGGCCACATAATTTTAAAAAATAACCTAGTTCTTACCCAACAAGTCCGACATCTGCAAGTAATTTTAGTTCTAAAGAAACCACATTCCTCTCACCCCGCAGACCCAGAAAATTTGTTCTTTTGTTACCACCCATTCCACCCTCTGCTGCCTGACAGATATCCCCATCTTCGTTTAAATCAGCTATAAAAGGAACAAAGGAAAAAAATGTTAGATTCTAAAAATTAAAAGCTTATTCAAATTTACTTGAAACAGCATCTTCTTTAAATAAATAATTAAAATGAACTAAAGTGATGAATCTTTTCAAAATACCAATTTCCCCATCAGCTTTATGAACCAAGACTCCAACAGGGACTTCCACATGTAAGTCAGCACCTCTCTCTCCAAGAAGACAGAACCTACTACAGAACAACAAATGGTAGGACAATAAATTTTCAATAATTTAGTCTTAATATAATGATTAATGCAAGGTTTTTGAGCTATTGTTTTCAGCCATACTAACTAATAAAGTACTAGTATAGCAAGGAAAAAGTTTAATATAGATTTATTATAAATAAACATTGTAAAAATAAATTTTTAGCCTGTTTTAAGTCTAGATTTAATCTAAAGTATTTACTCGCTATTTCCTCCAGCTTCTGCTCTGCAAACTTGGTTAGGATACTTCTGCAGCACTTGTCTCAATGACTTTACTTTCTTATTAACGACAAAAATCACTTTACCCCCATCTCCACCATAGCCACCATATTTGGGGAGCCCTTGTCCACCAGCACCACCACAGGCTTGAATTTGAAGCATGTCAATAAATTGGGGATATTTTTTCTGTAAAATAAATAAGGTTATTATAGGCCTATCTGATAGTAACAGTGTGCTATGTGAGGGAGGGTGCTTTAAGAAATGTAGCAAATTGATATAGTAGCCAGTTGAGTAGCTTAATGCTAGACATCATTGTGATCTTAGACTTCTTCTTTGTACTCAATAGAGATTTCTTCAGGCACAATTAACTTAATTAAGTTTAAGTATTATGCACCATTAGGCCCTCTGAGTAAAAAAATAAATGTCGGCTTTGTTTTCAGTCTGGAATTGCTTCCATAACCTCTTTTCTGTACTCTGTCCATGCAAAAACAAAATAAAAAACAGTAGTTATATTCTAGATCTAGATAGATCTAGATTAATCTAGGCCCTAAATTTATAAATTATTTTTAAATTTTACAGTCTTGGACCAAAGACCTAGATCTAGATTACTAAGATTTAGATTCTAACCCTAGGCCGCAAAACATGTCAATCTTCACTTTTCATCATCTATATCAGGGGTCTCCAAACTACGGCCCGCGGGCCAGATGCGGCCCGCGAGGTCCTTTCATCCGGCCCGCGGACTCTCTGAGATCCTTTTGTCAACGGAAAAAAAAATTTGTTGGAGGTGTCTGAGAAAAAATTCAAAACAAACGGAAAATGTAGCAGTGAGTGCAAATACCATTGAAGTAAATGGGGCCAGTTACCCAGTAAATGACCTCCTGAAAGACGTTCATGTAAGGACGGAAGATTTTCCTAATATTAAAACTTTTGCATCCAAGTACCTTTCACATTTTGGAAGAACATACAAACTTTATCAAGAATAAAGTAGGCCTACGTGACGAACAGTTTGAGAACAAACTTGGACCTCGAGTGGGTTGTCAGTCCCCGACAGTGTTTCTTTCAGACTTTTTTCTCAGGTGGGAGGCACTTGAAATTTATATATATTATATATATATATATATATTCCGTTGGGTGTGTGGTGCGATCTTCGGGGGGGGGGGGGGGGCCTCAGCCACCCCGAAGAGATGCCTGGAAGAAACTCTGGCCCCCGAACTTATATTTGATAGTTAATGCGACCCACGGGCTGAAAAGTTTGGAGACCCCTGGTCTATATATATAATTCTCTTCTGGGAGACGCTAGAAAACAAGCTGCATGCGCCTCCTTACAGTCCCCTCTCTTTCTCTCTATCACTATCACTAGCACCCCCACCCCACCCCCACATGGTCTGGTGAGTTGTGGTCACGCTAAATTAAATGTTTACAAATCGTAGAGCCGGGTTTAGTGACGGCTATTAGGGGCAGATAATTTAGTTTGAAACTATTTTAAACTTACAGGAGGTAACTAAGAGGAGGCTGCTTTCACGGGGGGGGGGGGGGTTGTAGGGTCTGTGATTTAAAGCAAATATTTTCAGTGGCAGCATTGGTACTGTCGAATTCACAAATTATGAATTACTGAAAAGTACAAAATAAAACAACTAAATAGCGGCGTATGATACGCCGCGGGTCGGCTCGTTCATCATATTATTAATATAATGAATGATGAAAAGTGGAGAGATTAGTTATAGTTGTTACTAGTAGTAAGTAGTGTAGGTAGTAGGTGGTAGGCCTACCAATATTTTCTATTGAATAGGCCTATTTGTCAATATTTGAATATTAAAAATAGACCTATAGACTATATGACTATAGGCCTATTAAATAATAAAATTTAAAATCTATATATATAATTCTCTTCTGGGAGCCGTTAGAAAACAAGCTGCAACCTCGCCTTAGTCCCCTCTCTTCCTCTCTATTGCTACCACCCCCCCCCCCCCCCCACCCCCTCACATGGTTTGGTGAGCTGTGGTTCACGCTGTTTACATTTTACAATCATAGAGACGGGTTTGGTGACGGCTAATAGAGGCAGATAATTTAGTTTGAAACGATTTTAAACTTAGAGGAGGTAACTAAGAGGAGGCTGCTTTCACGTGGGTAGGGGGGTGGGGGGGGGGTGGGGGAAGGGGGGTTTCGTGTTTTAAAGAAATATTTTCAGTGTCAGCTTGGTACTGTCGAATTCACAAATTATGAATTACTGAAAAGTAGAAAAAACAACAACTAAATAGCGGCTTATGTTATGCCGCAGGCCGGCTCGTTATTAATATTAGCCTAATTCAAAAAAATTAAAATAGGCCTAGGCCATTACTAATACTAATTACTATAGGCCTAGGTCTATCTATCTATCTATCTATATATATAAAAAGCAACGTATGTCTGTCTGTCCTTTATGCATTATTACACCTCTCGTTACATCGCCGTGAAACTTTGGGAAGTTGTTGAGAATATTCCTGGGGAGGTTTCTGCGCTAAAAACATTTTCAAATTCGCAGGGGTGGCGAAATATCATGTTGACTGTCTGGCTCTTAATTTCCGAATATCACTTTTAATGTATCAAGATTCAGAACTATAATTTACTTTAATATAAGGGTCATCTTATCGTTTATTGTGCTTTTTATAAAGCGCAGAGCAGCTTGAAAATCGGACGGCCATCCTGTTTTCACCAAGCTTCTTTTGGAGCTTAATATGGGTAGTCTAGTCTAGTTCTATACGTTGAGAGCTTAATACATTTTTAAAGGGCCGAAAGTCTCAAGACAGCAAGCTTGCAGAAATAACTAGATCTACGTACGTTTAAATGGACGAGTGATAGATGTGTTAGGGGCTGTTTAATGAACACAAACTTATGTAATCAAATTAAACGTTGCAAAAGTGTCAAAAAGGCAGTGCTTGTTTTTTTTTTTTATAAAATTAGCCTGACGGTCGGCGGGTACCGGTACATGACGTCACGTGCGAGCGTTAACTCGGTGACGATGTGCTAAGTGGGGGAATGAAAAAGGTGGGGTTCAAGAAATGCGACTCGGCAAGCTTTTTACATTTCTTGACCAAGCTTTTTACATTTCTTGACCCTTCTTAATAGTTCTATCGTCCCCACTGAGAAAATGGATCACCAATGAATGACGCGTCATACTTCTACAGCTGGTCTTTCTCCCACAACCATCCCCTGTTTTCACGAAAAAAAAACAACCTGACCCGTCTCCAAAATCACATCGCTGAGTTCTACTCAACCTCTCCCCACCACAAATCACAATTTCTATCTGAAACAATATGTTCATATGTTTGCTCTGTAATAATGCACGCTGTCATTACTATCCTAAGAGCGACGTCATTTATGAGCTATCTAATATTGATTTGCTTACTGCAAATAAAGTGTTCAAAAGTTCGACCTCCCAACAATTGTTGTGGTCTTGGATGCACACTATTAAGTCTGAAAAGGTCTATTTTAGTCATTCATGTCAACTATATTAAAAAAAAAATACTATACATGACGTCACGCTTTTTTTGACGATTTTTACCTCCCCCCTCCCCTCCGTCACACGTCATCACAAAAAGCCAGACCCCTCCACCCCTAAAATGACGTCACACCTCAGCCTACAATCCCCCTCAAAATTGCAGTTGAATTGTTTTTAAATAGCTATATTTTTCCAAAATCTTGTCTGAACTCTGTCAAAATAGAGTATTTTAATCAATTGTTATTACAATGTATTAAAACAGTTTTCTAAAACGCAAAATAACGTCTAAAATTCATTTTCTAACATAGCTTTTTTAAAATGCAAAAGTGTGACGTCGCACCATCTGAACCCCCCCCCCCCCCTCATCACACAATGTCACAAAATTACGGACCCCCCCCTACGAGTGTGAGGTCATTTATGGACGACCCCCAGGCATATATTAAAACAATACAAAACAATCATATTAAACCACAAAATCAACACAAAAGACATGCGAATAGACAATTTATTGTTTTTTAAACATGGCCGCTGCTTGTGTTTACTCATTGTTGTCTCGAACGGGGTAGTTTAAAGTTTATTCCAGGATATTTATGACTGGTTTGGTCTTGGATTGTGATTTGTTATTCAATTATCTGTTATATTATGTAAAATATGACATAAATACGGCCAAATGAAAGAAAGAAATATTCATTAGTTACCTTCATCGCACATTACTAGCTACATTGGAATTTACGACGCTAAACTAAGATTTTACAGGGGCGTAGCGAGGGGGGGGGGGGGGTGCGGACAGCACCGGGTGACACCATTTAGGGGGGTGACACCAAGGCAAAAAATAGCAAAATATATAGATAAAAACTTGAGGCGGGGGGTGCAAATTGAAAGTTTGAAGGGGGGGGGGGGTGCAAATCGAAAACTTGAAAGTTTGTCCCTGGGAAGGGTCGCAACGCCTATGGGAGGGTGACACCATTAAGTGCCGCACCGGGTGACACCCGACATCGCTACGCCACTGCGAAAATATACTCATATTTAATGACATATTCATTAATTCACTCTCTCCTACATTGCTAGTTTTGGCCGAATTTACGACGCTAAACTAAGATTTTACCCATTGGTGATAAGTGATAATGATATCCTTCTAATTATAATTCTAATATCTATATATATAATTCTCTTCTGGGAGCCGTTAGAAAACAAGCTGCAAGCGCCTCCTTGCAGTCCCCTCTCTTCCTCTCTATCACTACCCCTCCCCCCCCCCCCCCCCCCCCACCCCCACATTGTCTGGTGAGCTGTGGTCACGCTATTTACATTTTACAATCATAGAGACGGGTTCGGTGACGGCTATTAGGGGCAGATAATTTAGTTTGAAACGATTTTAAACTTAGAGGAGGTAACTAAGAGGAGGCTGCTTTCACGTGGGGGGGGGGGGGGGGGGGGAAGGGGGGTTTAGTGTTTTTAAGCAAATATTTTCAGTGGCAGCATTGGTACTGTCGAATTCACAAATTATAAATTACTGAAAAGTAGAAAAAAAAACACAACTAAATAGCGGCGTATGATACGCAGCGGGTCGGCTCGTTTAATCTATTAGATTCTATTTCGTCAGACTTTCTAATTCTTCTATCCCCGCGTCAACGCGCGAGGGGGGGGGCGGGTACGCTATTATGATATAAATTACAAACTAACTTTAGTAAATTCTGAAAAGAATTTGTAAGACCCCAACTGTGTAAACTTGAATTTACTACAACAAATGGGTAAAGATTTTACGCATTTGGTAGTGCAGAAAAACCATGTAGAGGTTGCCATTTTCATTCTTGTTTGAAATTAGAGTTACCTTCCTTATTATCTCTAAACTGTTTTCGATTTAAATGTATTTATAATTTTACACTAGAATTTAATAATTGTACTAACTAATTTGTAAGCATTATTTTTTATTGTTTTCTGTCAGGCCTATTAAATTTTAACCAAGGAAAAGTAGATTTAAATCCAGGCAAAAACTAAAATGAGAGATTAGAGGTCCAAACTAGACTACTTTAGTAAATTAGTAAAATTACTACTAGATCTAGAATCTAGATCTAGATTATCTAGATCTAGAATCTAGATTTTTGGTTCTTGATCTGGTAAAACCCATTTTCGCCATGATTTTCGGTATTTTACTTGAAAATCTTACCCGGACTTATCCATACCGAGGAAGAAAGAGAGAGCTTTATTTTAATTTTTATTCATCTTAATTATTATTAATTAACATAGAGATCTAGATCTAGGGCCTAATGACAATAAAATAGTCACGTTGTGTCAAATAGGCCTAATATTATTTATTATAACAGTGTAGGCTGTAGGCCTAATATAAATAATAGCCTAAATATAATAGTGAGTAATAGGCCTATCCTATAGGCCTACTATATTATATTACTATATTTAGATCTAGAAATCTAGTAATAATCATTAAATTAAGTCAAGTAGGGCCTACTTATATTATTTAGATCTCTGTCTAGTACTAATACCGTAATATTAGGCCTAATAATATATTTTTATAATGTAGGCTTATAGCCTATAGAAGGGCCTATAAGTATAATACTACATAGTAGGCTACCTTTTCTTTCCCCATGAGCTGGCTGCAGTCAGGGATGTCCTATGGATGGACTCGAATCTGGGATTCGATCTCAAGACTTTTAGCAGTCAAATGTTCTACACCATACTACCATTATTATTTATATATATATATTTAGGGGCAGATAATTTAGTTTGAAACAATTTTAAACTTAGGGGAGGTAACTAAGAGGAGGCTGCTTTCACGTGGGGGGGTGTAGGGTAGGGGTTGGGGGGAGGGGTTGGGGGAAAGGAGGGTGGGGGGGGAGGGGTTATTGTCCTTAACGACCTACTGATAGTGTTTTAAAGCAAATATTTTCAGTGGCAGCATTGGTACTGTCGAATTCACAAATTATGAATTACTGAAAAGTAGAAAATAAAACAACTAAATAGCGGCATATGATACGCCGCGGGTCGGCTCGTAATATATAATTAAATATAGATAGGCCTATTATAATTTAACACGTATTGTAAATTACTAGGTCTATGTAAAGATGTATGGACAAAACTGATTTTTGCTACAAAATATAGTAAAAAATATCTTCTGTTATTTCTTTACATATTTATTTATTTAGTTACTTTAGGCCTAAAAAACAAGTATTATCATATGAAATATTATGTCTTAGGTTTCTTCCTTATCAGGGATTACAGTATGGCAGCTGATGTACTGGGTATGGCATTTATTCCATACTACGATCACTTAATGAATCTTTTACGAACAAACCCTGAACTACATAAAACTGCAAGAGGTAATATGTCAACTTTAATGTTAGAGTGATTTTCCTTTTTCAGGATTCTTTGTCATGAAAACTGTCTCTTCCTGAAAAAATGTGTTGTGTTGCTACTACTCTACTATGAACTTTGTTACAAGTCAAGTCAACACTTACTTGAATCATAACTTATAAAACTACTTCAACCTGATTATTCTTTTTAGTGACTAACTTACTTGCTGTGCATTGCTGCAGTCTCAAAAGAAAAGAAATTCACTGACATTTGTTATGATAACAAAAATAATAACATTATATTGAAACATACATACTGTCATTTTTGTTGAAACTTATTCATTTTAATGTGTTGATTTTAAAAGATTTTAAAGGATTGTTTTAAAATTCTTTCGTGTGCTCGTTAAATTCAAACACTTACAGTACAGTTGACAGTATAAGAAGCACAAACTCTCCACCAATTTAATTCCTTCAAACCAACATGATGCAATTTTTTATGTGCTACTAATTACATATTTTTAGATGTGTGACCTTGTTTTTTAATGTAAGCAATCTTGGGAACACATTTCTTAATTATTAGTGTGTTGATTTGTCCACATTACCATTCAGACACCCCAGGATATGCTGTATGAAGACATGGACATTGCACTGAGATTTTTGGAGCCACTGTACTACCATTGGTGTGGGAGGTGTGACCCTTGGTTTGGTTTAGTCATTGACTATAGAAGCCCACCATACTCCTAGTGTAGGGCACTCTTTAAAATGAATGTTGGTGCTTATGGTGGAGCCTCTGGGTCACATGACTGCTGAGGTGCTACAACTCCCCAAAGTTTCATTGTGATTAGATGAATGGCATTGGAGGGGGGGGTACATATGTCCTAGGGGTGCCAAAATAAGCTCATTTTAGCTGCTATTTTAAATTAAGCCAAATTGACAGTTTGTCCCCGGGTGCCGGGAGGGGTCGCTACGCCTCTGATGAATGGTGTAGTGATGCAAAACAGATAAACAGAGACACACACAAATAAATACACTAATTTATTTATAGAGCTATTAAGGCCTATATTTTACATACCAGCAATTTGAGATGAAGACCTTTAGTAGGAGTGTAGTGTAAACACAAAAATAAAAATTGTTAGCCTTAAGGTCAGCTATTAGTGACACAAGTGACTGTGTGCTTGTCTCTACAATGTCAAATTTTTAATGTCATACAAACAACAATTTTACACTTAGAATTGTTAAGGAACATACACATATATAGAGAGAAAGAGAACATTTTTTAACCCCTCCAACTGTGACCCACTTCTGCTTACACCACTATCCTCTAGTAGGCTACTTTAGAAGATCTCTTTTATCATTAACACTTTCCCATAGTCATCTTTTAAAACCTTCTTGATTATTATAAAATCCACCTACAACACCTGAATAAAAATTAATAAAACTAAAAAAAAAATTCCAAGATGTTTGTAAAATTATTAAATGCTGTTTCAGGAATCTTCAAACAAGTGGCTTGGGGTGCAGCTGGTACTGTAGCTGGAGCAGCTGTTGGTGGCCCTGTAGGGGCTATGATTGGTGGTATTGCTGGTATGTCTATCACATTTTACATTTATCTCATCTTCAGACACATCTTCTCTTCTTCTTCGTTCTTAATTTTATTGTTGGAAACGATCCCCTCCAACACAGTTAAGTAGACTTGTTAACTGATTATGCGCCATTGAGGCCATTGACTCCGATTTCAGCCTGTTTTTCTTTTTGGATTTGCTTCCATAGCCTTTGTCCAACCAAGAACAAAATACAGCAGTTGTTTGATTCCTAGAAGAGTGGCTGTCCTCAGCTAACAAGCCTCATCTGCCAGATGTTTCGAACTTGAGACTTTTTGGTTTAAGCAACCATGAGCTTTACCAACTCGACTTCAGACTCTAAAGTGTTGGATAAACAAGGATTACAATTGATATAAAATTTATTAAAATACAGTCTGGGACATGGCAGAGGATGCCTGTGTAAAATTAATTATTTTTTTAAAGCACTTTTATATTTCTGGTTTTCCCTGGGTGCTGAAGTAGACAGTTGACAGTTAAATAATTGTATAATTTATACAAATCCTGGTGTAGTATTCGATTACCTATATTTTTTTTTTAAAAGTGAAATCTCTTATGTAATTTTGATCTAACTAATGCACTCATACTTTCAGAAGCTCAGCTATTATTTAGTTAGTATTATATTATAGTTAATTATATAGTTTAAAAGAATGAGTTAGTGAATTAAATAAATAAAATGGAATTTTTTTTTTCAAGGTTCAATAGTAGGCTACAGAATGAGTGACGATTATCAGTCTTTGATTGATGTAATGCAGGACTTGTCTGATGAAGAAAAAAAGGAAATAGTTAAAAGAGTACAAGAACTTGTCGGAGGATCTGCAATAGAAGCCTTGACCCGATTTATTGGCAGCCAAGCACAGCGATCATCTCTGATTCACTTGTTAAGATCAGCCGCTTCAGAATTTTCAAAAGGTGCTTAAAAACCACAACCAAGTTGTGTTGATTTGAACATCAAAGATTTCTTATATTGCAATATTTTTTAACAATAATTGTTGATATTTTGCTGGTTATTTTACACTATTGCAGATGTACCAATGTTAACTTTTCTTTAATGTTAACATTACATTTTTTTAGATTCCTTATACTTCCACATTAAACTAAACTTAGTATAATTTCTCAATACTCTAAAAATTATATTACTTTTTAAAAGTAAAAAATATGTTATCTAAATTACAATGTATTAAAATTTATGTTATGTAAATTGGAAAATAAAACTTTTGTTATAAAAAGTAAAAGGATAAATAAAGTTGTGGCTAAAATTCAAAATAATGTTGCACTTTTTAACTTTTTAATAGCAAATCACAACATATTGCAGGGCTAAGACATTCCCCCCTCTCTCCAGCTCCCTATCCTTATTTCTAACACTAACTAACCATAACTTATTCTTACCCTTATCTCTATTTCTAAATTAGCAGGTGGGGGATATGTTGTATTGTAGGTTTTTGGGCAACAATAATTGTTGATATTTTGCCTGCTATTTTTCATCGATGCAGATTAACAGAACAATCTATTTGTGATAAAGTATTTATGATGTACCAATGTTAACTTTTCTTTATTTACAACTGTGCAGTTACATGTTATGACTTCATATTTTTTTAGATTCCATCTACTTCCACATTCAAAAATTAAATGACCACTTATTTTTTGTCTAATTGTTTTTTTTTTGTTTAAATTATAGATCTATGCATTTTTACTTTCCAAACCTTCTCGAATATTCTTATATAACACTACAAGGAATGGCAACATGGGATATTGTTATGATTTTTAATCAATTTTTTAAATACTTAAACTTTTTAAAAAATAGAATATAATTTTGTAGAAAAAAAAGAATTGCGCACCTAGTGAACGGCAAAAATATATGTTTAATAGTGCGGAATACTAGATCTAGTACTTTATAAATTCACATGTTTTTTTTTTGTGTGTTGAGAAATTGGAAATAGTGTAAAGTAATACTTCCAGTCAACGGAAATTACTCAAAATTTGATCGAAGGAAGAGAATTAGATCATTTACTTATTTGTACAATTACATTTATTTATCTGAAACAGTACTCAAGTTATAGGCTTTTGAAAAACCAAAAGTAGAATAGGCTCCAGTTGCTGGTAATCGGAAATTGCTGAAAAGTTGATACAGAAATACAAATTTGATATAATACTCATACATAAAATTTCATCAACCTAGCTGAAACAGTACTCAAGTGTTCACAGACATACACGCACACAGACAAAATTGAAAAAGTATGTTTTTCCGACGGAGGACGAGATTTCTTCTATATTTCGTATACGAGAAAGTAAAAAAAAAAAATGGAATCTAGATTCTATATTTGAAACAACAATATAGGATGATGAAAAGATAATAACCATCAACATTAAACAACACAAATATTATTTAGATGTATAAGACCATTTAGCCTAATACTACTTACTATAGAAAGCAATAAAACCCATATATATATATATATATATATATATATATATATATATATATATATATATATATATAAAAGATTAATGGGGGGAAACATGCTGTAATCCTTAATAAAGTAATGCACTGCATTGTTATTATTAACTTAATATCAATTATCATACACCTATAATGATATATCTAATTTCGTGAATGGCATTTGAAACGTATGGTATTATGATATTATCGTGTGTTGGCAAGTGTTATAAGTAGAGTAGAGGGGATTCCGAACTGTGGAAGGTGTTGGAGGTAAAAAAAAAAAATCCTTAAAAAACCGTGACGTCATTTGTTGATTCTCCCCCCCCCCCCCTCCAAAGATGAATAATTGCATATTATATAGACTAGGTCTATTGTGTATTCTATATCTAGACCTATTTTATTTTCTAGAAGAGACCGCAAGTGGCATATGGATGAGAATCAAATCAATAATAATAAAGACTAGATCTAGTTAGTTAAGTAAGTTATTTAGATCAAATGATTTTTATATAGAAACTAGGGGCATTAATTTAATTAATAGACAACATTCGTTGTCGTGTGGCATAAAAATCGAATGTTTACAAATATATTTCAATTTAATTTAGGCTTGATCATTGGCGTTATACAGTCTAGATATAATACTTTTTAATTTAAACAGTATTTTGACGATCACTGTTTTTTTTTATTGTTTCAGTCTCGTGCAATGTGTTTTCTTTTATTGGTCGACATTCGCTCCGTTATTGTAGTGAATGATGTCATAATCATGGAGGATTAGGTTTATTTTGGATTCTGGCGAGAACAGATCCAAGTATTATGCCAACGATTAGCGACTGATATTTAAAAGTATAAAAAGGGCTTTATGTAGATCTAATAATATAATGTACCAAAACAACAGAAATTTATTTTTGTTTCCGCTGTGAATACCCTGGAATCTAGAGATTTCAATCTAGATTCTAGATCTAGATCTAGAAATCTAGATCTAGAATCTAGATCTAGATTAGATCTAGAATCTAGATCTAGTACTAGATCTAGTAGTAGTAGAGTTAAGTAGAGATCTAATCTTATGATTTAAAATCTAGATCTAGATAAAAGATTTGTTTGTCCGATTGACTACTCATACTGTAGAAAATCTGCGCTATGTGGAGAGCTGTAAAATAGTAATTAGGTAGAAAACAATTTGTCTTTTCAGACAGACTGTTAATCACAAATTTATTTAAAGAAGTTAATTAATTTATTGATTTATTCATAGGTAGATTAACCACATTGACATTAATTTTAAAATTTTCAAATAATGGCTTTACCTTGTCTGAATAGTGACGTCACATGATTTGTTTATTTTTTAGTACAATAAGATGCCGGCTTCCATCATAGACTTTGTAGCCCATTCAAAAGTTTAATGCGTTCTAAAGCTAATTTTCTGTCGGCTATGACTTTAACAATAGGCCTACTTCCGTTTGCTGTGTTTATTGCGTTCCAACACTTATATCAATTTTCAACTGTCTTTTTCATTTAGTTTTACAATAAATTTCTCTAGCTCTACAATCTGTCCAAGAAAGTTATTTATAGATCTAAATATAGGGGTCAGCGTGGTCGAGTCAGTAAAGCTCATGGTTGCTAAACAGAAAAGTCTCGAGTTCGAACCCTCGGGCAGATGAGGCTCGTTAGCTGGGGACAGCCACTCTTCTAGGAGAGACAACTCCAAAATTAAACAACTGCTGCCTTGTAGTTTGTTCTTGGTTGGACAAAGGCTATGGAAGCAAATCCAAAAAGAAAAGCAGGCTGAAGTCGGAGTCAATGGCCTCAATGGCGCATAACCAGTTGACACGTAACGCTTAATTGTGTTGGAGGCGTGGTCGAGTTGGCAAAAAGCTCTTCATTGATAAATTTGAACATTTCGAGTTCAAATGCACTGGCAGATAAATCTCAATACCCTTCAACACTAATAATTAAGAACGAAGAAGAAGAGAAAGAAGAAGATCTAAATATCAGGTGGCCAAGAAAGTTATTTATATATCTAGATCTAGAATCTAGGTCAAACCAAAGATTAATTAGATACAAACACCGAAGATTAATTAGATAAAAATACAATCCATTTTATAATCATAATACATTTTTTAGTCCTTAAATACTTGATATAAATCTTTGTGATTTATCTATCTAGATCTAGATCTATCTAGCTAGAATGGGTCTAATGATTAGATTCTAGATCTAGCAAGAGCTACGCAAAAACTAGACTTAAGACTTAAGCAAACTAGTCGTAGCACGGGTTCTAGACACGTCAATATTAATTTTTTTTTTCAATTTTATTTATTTTTGAGATGTGAATGATAAAGTTGCCTATCTGAACTTGGCGGGATACAGGGAAGGTGAAGTAGAGTTCATTTGTTTCTTTGTCCTAAGCATATGAAGTTAATGAAGGGATTGATAGTGTGTTCAGAGACATGCTCGGCTGGAATTGTTTTTTTAAACGATAAAAACATGTTGTCTGAGACTTGGCGGGACACTTGGCAGGTGAAGTAGAGTTGAGTAGGTCACCTGTGACGTCAGTATATGAAGGGATAGTCCAAAATCAGTGTTTTTAAAAGATTAAAAACATCTTTTTGAATGTGGGGTCTGGTTTTTTGTGACGATAAGTGACAGACGTGATGTTTTTTATTGATGACCCCCGAAACCCACAGTTATCCAAGGTAGTCTAGTAAGATTTAAAACTCACATTATCATTATCAGCAAGTTATTACAAGTTCTAAATAATATCATTGTAGCTAAACTTTGCAATTATGTACAAAATACAAGTAAAATTAATATGCTTATTTATACAGATATATCATTACTTGTCACAAATGACCAATATATATATATGTGTGTGTGTGTGTATGTAATCTATCTTTATACCTTCAACAGAAACAAAAAAAAATCATCCAATATTATTACGGGTAGATTGGAAAAGGCTGTCACTTTTGCCTTCTCCACAATAGTCATTTCAATTGGGCAGATCAAGGCATATGAATATCATCTCATTTGGTAAGTAACCCACATTATTTTGATTTAACCTTAATGATAAAAAATATTCTCTTATTGATGTAGATATATCATAATTTGTATTTACATGAAGTTTTAATTTAAAAAAAAATAATAATATGTATTATTTTTTTAAATTCAGTCTTTCCATACCAAGAAAACAGAAATAAACCATGAATGATGGCACTGAAGCAAAATGGGCATGTGAATTTTGTACTTATGAAAACTTTCCAGCAGCCAAAAAATGTACAATGTGCTTTAAGTGGCGTACTCCCCACTTGATCTCAGACACCTTCAATGATGAGCAGGATATTTATAAAATGGCACCACTAGTATCTGTTTCCCCAACAGATCTCAATATTTTTTGTAGCAGCAGTAGTGGAAGTGGAGAAAGCAATAAATGGGCATGCGAAATATGTACTTATCTTAACTGGGCCAAATCAACAAAGTGTGTCCAGTGTCTAAACCCAAAACGCAAAAATTCACCACCTATTTCTCAATCTCAGGAAAAATTTTCTAGCTTACTTGTTAATACTTCAGAGGGGCATCAGGCCATCAATGCAGACAACACTACACCAACACATCTATCTCCCAATACATTGTCAAACAATGCTGTCATTGAGAAAACCTCAAACTATGACAATAAATCTAGCATATACACATCCTTCCAGAATCCTTCCAAGTGGATCTGTCTTACCTGTACATATGAAAACTGGCCTCGATCTTTAAAATGTGTTATTTGTGGTACTCCCAAAGAAAAAATATCTGCTGATATTCAAGAAGCTGTTGGACCAAGCAGATCTGAAAGTAACTTTCCAATGCAAAGACGAAGTCCATCTGCCTCAATAGCTGGTCGTCGGACTATAGTGGATCGCTCTGATAATTATTTGGCTGGGGCATCAGCTTCATCTGTGACTATATCATCCTCATCCAAACAACCGCCATCACCTCCGCTGACCAGAGAGAAAAGGCTTGCAGTGTTGAGATCCAAGTTACGTGATTCTGACTGGCTTTGGTTAAACGCCTGCATGGGAGCTGTTGAAGGAGATTTGGAGGCTATTCATGCATTTATTGCTGGGGGAGGTCACCCCTCAAGACAGCTGACTATGCAGGAAGTTGAATTATTAGACAGACCAAGTGCCTTTCAGGTATAATTTTTAAATTGGGATTGTTTTATAGTTTTTAATTTAGCTTTATTTTTGCTCTCAGAGTATCTGTAAAAATATTTTTTTTAATATTCTAAAATGTTTGAATATTCATAGATATCTGCATATATTTGTTTTGATATGGGGCTCAAAGCCAATAAATATTTGTTTATATACTTCATGTAAGCCTATTATTTTTACAAACATTTAAAGTATTTAACTAGTACTCCCAACCAATTAATTCCCACAAGAAAGTGGTCCTATTTGCACTTAGTTTTAAATATGTAATGACCTCATACATAATTATCAAGATTTTAATCTAATTATATAATCATTCTAAATATTTGAGCTTTATTTTCACAATTAAAGTAACATATCAGTAATTTGGCTAAACATTAAGACACTTCCATTTTTTAAGTTGCTTTTTTCTTTCATTTTATTTTTAGGCAGGCTACACCTTGGTGCATTTAGCAATAAGGTTCCAAAGAGAGGACATGCTTGCTATTCTTCTAACTGCAACTGATGCAGCAACTAAAGCAACCAAACGTTTGCCCTGTATGGCTTGCCCAGATTTAGCAACTGATATTAGAAGACAAGTTGTATCATCACTTCGTCAAAGAAAAGGAGATTTCCCTTGCTCTTTTCTAACAGACTGTGTCACTTTTTCACTGCCAGCAGGTCAGAGCTTTTAGAAATATGGGGACAGAAATATGGGAACATAGTATTTATAAACTTGAAACATTTTTCAAATCTTTTTCGACCAATGTAGCCTACCTGCAACAAAAACTAATTAATTATCTCAGTTATTTGTATTTTTAAAAAAAAACATCCATTGCATGATTTTAATTTCTCTTTTACAATGTAGATATTGAAGATCTTGAAAGAAATATCCAAGAGCAATTATTTGATGAAATCCTAGACAGGGATGTACAGAATGGTTTGTAAACAATTTTTTTTTCAAACCAGTAAAACTGTACAATACAAATTATCAACCTGATAATCAGATTGTTTATGGTAATAAATCAGTTGGGCTATGGAAGGGGCTATTGAATGTTTAAAAAATAGAATTTTGTCTTATCAAAGCATATGATTATTAAACCTGATTATGTGTTTTTCAATGTATTTAAAAAAAGCCAATTGTGGTAGTTTCTCATTGCCACAAGTTAATGGAATTTAAGTGTAAACAATATTATTCTAATTCATTGCTCTTTTTTAAAAAAGCAATTATCAAAAATATGTATTAAAAATATTTTTTTTAACTAATTTTTTTCATAGCAAGCCAAATCAAAATGAGAAAAAAAAGGCAAATACCCTAGATGCATTACCTGTCTATTTTCAGAACTGGAGGTAGAAGAAGCAATTATTAACTGGAGCATTGAGCTAACAGACAGATTAGGCAGTAGATTGTATGCATTATGGAACAGAACAGCTGGAGACTGTCTCCTAGATTCTGTCTTACAAGCCACATGGGGTGTTTTTGATCTTGATAATTCCTTGCGGCGTGCATTGGCAGATAGTTTGCGGGAAGGAGCAATGAAGTAATTGGTTTAAAATAGTTTACTGAAAACAGGTCTGACAGCTTGTTTAAGAAGTGTGTACAATAAAATTAAAATAACTTAGGGAAATAAATAGTTTATGCTTTTTTTTTAAACAATAAAACAACTTGTACAAAAACATAGCTAAAATGGCAAATTTTAAACTAAATGTTTTTAATTTCAACATCTGCTTGAATGCATTTGTAAACTAATATGCTAATGAATGAGTGTGATTTTTAACAATCTTAAAGATTTTAAAATGTATTAATCTATGAAATTTATTTTAGTTTTTACCCCCGGTGGAAGGAATATGAATCTATGCAAGCAGAGTCTTTACATTTTACCCTTGATGAAAGCCAGTGGCAACATGACTGGGCTGTACTTCTAAGCCTTGCTAGTCAGCCTGGTACTTTAATTTTGGTCTAATTCTATTTACACTAAAATAACCTGTAAGAAAAGTATATTTTCATATAAAAAGTTTTTATGCCTTGATAACTGAAAATTGAAAGCAGAAAACAGGAATACATTTTTACTGTTACAGGCACATCACTGGAACAAACTCACATTTTTGCTCTGGCCCATATTTTAAGGCGACCCATTATAGTGTACGGAGTCAAGTATGTTAAAAGTTTTAGAGGAGAGACTATAGGTTTTGCAAAATTTCAAGGTAAGTAAAACTTTATACTTCACAAAATTAATATGACCGAAACATTTATTTTATATTGTCATTTTTTAATATAATAAATTTGATTAAATGAAATTTTTAAAAATTAATTTGTTTGTAGCCTATAATAGTTATATTTTTGCTTCATGCTAGTTTGTGAATTCCTTATCACAGGTGTGTATCTACCCCTTTTGTGGGAATCCTCTTTCTGTTGGAAAAACCCTGTGGCACTGGGCTATACAAGAGGCCATTTTTCAGCCCTTGTTCCTATGGAGATGGATATGGATGATGGGATTGGTGCTGGTGCTAACACTGATTCAAGTGAAGATGAGCAAGTTGCTTACCTGCCTTTAGTAGACTATGAGGGAAAACTTCTTCAGCTACATTTTCTTTCAGGATCAGAGGTATTTTAACTATGTATTTGTCTTTACTTTATTATTGAATACTAGTGCTCATCCACAAGGCATCTAGATTTAGATAATTCCCCAGGAAACTGCTACTTAAATCAAGTGTTCTAAATATAAAATACAATTTTGAAAACGCTGTGAAATGTTGCTTGCTATTGAGTTGTATGAGTACATGTATCTTTTGCTGTCATGCATTTGACATAGTTTTTAAAATGTTATTTTTACATCACTAAATAATGATTCACCTTTAATACTTTATGATTCATAAGGTTAAAAACAAGTTAAATTTTGTATTGGACTATAAAATAATGCATTAGAACATGCTGAACTTGAGCTCATTTTTACATCATGAGTCTTTAGGACACTTGAATTAACTAGTGGAAATGCAGGACATTGTTAATAGAAGCCACATCTCATTAAGCAAGATAATTGTTTTTGAAATTATCTTTATTAAGAAAAATTGTTGTTACAGACTGGCCGGGAAGAAATTGTGTTAAGGGAGTGGCTCCATTGTCAAAAAACCAAAGGTGGTCTTCTGGTGGCAACTCAGAAACTGGGCAAACGACCTGTTGCAGTCAAACAAATGGTTGATGAATGGCTTGACCTCTACAGAAGATTTATGGTTCCACGTCCATCCCTTTCAATCAAAAGTACATTTTCAAGTGATGGTGAGAGCGATGATGAGTAAATCAAAGTGTCTAATACTTGCTAGATGAACAGCTTTTATTATTGTGATAGTTGTTATAAAACAAAGTTGTTAATATCTGAATGTGTATATTGTCTCAGTATTGCTTGTCCTTAGCCTTACAGTTGGATAAGAAAAAAAAGTTGTAACATTTCTTATATTCTAGGCACACACAAACATTAGACTGTACATTGTTGCATAATTTAGCAATAGAAAGTCTTTAGTATAAGAGAAGGATCAAAGTAACATTTAAATACCTTTTTTTTAAATTAATAAATAACATGAAAGCTAAGATAAAAAGAATAAGGCTTTCAGAAGTTGTTTTAAGTTGTTTTTAAAAAAAACCAGTAAAGTCAATAGTACAATTTTTTAATGACTCACTTTGTGTGATTGGTTTTTTTAAAATGGAATTTATAAATTTTCCTTCTACACCTAGATTAAACCTTAAAATCTCTTTGATAAATGGGGACGCTTTTGAAAGTATTTATTTAATACACAAAGAAAAATAATTTTTTGTTTCCAGATTTTTATTTTTGAGATCATCCCACTACTGAAGTAAATGTCCAAAATCTTTTTTTTTTCATTAATAACAGCATTTATGTATAAGTAATAGAATACAGTTGTTTTTATTATTTTTATTTTGTTCTGCAAAAATAAAATGTTTTACTTTAAATAGAGGAAATGAGTGTACATAATGTATAATATAGAATGTTCTTAGCATGTTTGAGAAAAAGTAAACATATCATAACTTCAATCTTTATAGTGATTCAGGGACAGTAATTAGTGTTGTGTTTATATGAGTGATATTTTAATTGTACTCTCAGATGTCAAAGCCAAGCTTTAGTTTCACAAAGTTTACCTCAATCAGAAAAAATGTTTCCTGCATTATTATTTTTTATTTTTTTGCAGTTCTATAAAATAAAAGACTATTTTTACTTATGGCAATTAAAATCTGCCACCTAAGTTTAAGGATTGTACCAGTAATCAATGGAAATGTTGAAAATATTTTTTAAGTGCCATATTTTAATGTGTATATAATTATTTTAACTAATTCTTTAAAAAAAAAAAAAAATTAAATATGAAGACGCAACCTTATTTGGTGTAGGTAATATGAATTTTTTGATACTGCCAATTATTACTCAGAAAAGAGTAATAATATATCATTTAACTGTTTTGCTTACCACATTACTCCACATCTTTAGTTCAGGAAAAAAATTTTTTAACTTGATATTGAAATACAAAGAGTTGTATATAGTTGCTGTATAAATATATTTTTTGCCATCTAAAGTCTTTATTATGCATAATAACCATGAGATTACATGTAGCAGTTAAAAATATGGAATTTAAAAAAATAATTTAATAGGTATAATAGAGCCTACATTATGCTGTTACATTCATTTTACATGGTAACTTTGGTACAATAAATTTCATTACTTAATAATTGGCTTGCTTGTATTAATTTCTTTCATTGATTGAAAAAAACTTATCTAGTATAATATTGTCTAGTTATTACTATACTGAGTATTTATGAAACTTTTAAATGTCATAATGTAATTACTGTGTTAAATATTGCAAAAGTTATAAATAAAATATTGCAAATATTGTTTGCGTTTGGGTGATTTTGAATAAAAAAGGGAAAGTACACTAAGAAATATACAACACAGATACTTATTAGGACATCAGTTTGTCTTTATTGTTGAGTTAAAATAAATCACAATTATACTTAGTGTACATTTTTATTAAAAGCTGAACATTTAAACATTAAAAAAGTTCAAGTTTTACAATGCTTGTGATCTGTTCTTTTATACCATTGGATCTGTCGCTCCGTGTCTGAGTTGTAGAGTCAGGAGCCTGGCTGTCTATATAGTTGGGGTCAGGAAATGTTTGCACACTGTGGCCTTGGACATAATTGAAATGTAAATAAAAATAGTTCATAACATTGATTTATACTTTGGCACTAATAACCATTTGGTTTCAAGTGACTCCAAATGCTGTATGGAAGATTGGTGAGATGAGAATGGACATTAAACAGCACCATTTACACTTAATGTACTTAATAAACTACAACATCACATTCGTGGGAATTATTTCATGATATAAAAATATAAATATTTAATTACCACAAACCATCCATATTACATAAACATGGTAAAATATTTTAACTTTATTCTTACTTCCAAAATTATAAATTTCAATACTGCCTTCAAAATTATTTTAAAATGACGGCAGCACAAAGGTCGCAACTAGTACAAAGGTCGCATTCATCAACTCACTGAGGGTTAAATGTACATAAAAAGTTGATAAGCTGTAATGCATGTAAATCTGTACACATTTTAGTAACAATTTACAAGAGCTTTAGTGTCTAATATATTTGATTTAAAATGCAAATTAGCATCAACTTTATAAAGTTTAATTAATAATGTATGAAAGTGAAGCTGATCAATGCAACATTACACCAGATCAGATACAGTTGCACATGCTCTTAAATCTTTCATACACATAATATAGATAAAATTTAATATCTGTTTTAAAACAACAAACAGACATTTATACAAGATTATATTTTAGAGGAGAATTACAACAACCTAGATAAAAATGGTTAACAAAAATGCAGCAAGAACAATTTCAACCATTTTATAAACAATGAATATTGACTTAAATTTTAAATTACAACATTTAGAGACACATGTTCTACTGTAAAACGAATATATACAATAATTTTTATAAGGAAAATGGAAATTTTAATTATAAAACTAATTGGGAAAAAAATTAAAATTAATTATTCATATTACTAATATATATATATTCCAATAACACAAGTATTACAATCATGTATGTGAGATTCATCCACATATTAGTTTTGGGATATACATTTTAACAACATTTTAGTGTGTAGTGTTGACTGAGTAAAACTTAATATAAGATGGTAAAACTATCAATACTAGAATAGTTTGTTAAAATGTTTGCATAAGCTTCTCCCACAAGATCATGTGCTCATGACTACCTAGCAACTTGCAGGTAGGTTTTTAAAAAATGAATTACTAAGGAAGAGAAAAATACTGAAATTTATCAATCTCTAAATCGTAACCTGGCAAAACAAACACTTCAAAGACATGGAAGATAAATTTCAAGACAAATTGTTAACCCTTAAGACCTCTTAGAAGGGGAGAAGGGGTGGTCAATGATCTGGTATCAGAGTACTGTACTAAATAAATTTGTAAAATATGTATTTTTAATTTAAAAATTGATTTTTTAGACCATTTAATACTGAAAATCATGTGACATATTTCACATGTACAGTGCAGCAACAGACCAGATCAAAATATTTTTTTTTCCATCAACAAACATTTGAAAAGTAATGAAATGTATTTAATTTTAAATACTTTTACATCAACTAGTTGAAAAGTTTAACAAAAATAATTACAATGTCACAAAAAAAACATGTAAACAAAAAATCAAGAAAGAAAGTACAAAAGTCAACAAGACACTTTATTCACTATTCTCACATTTGCAATCTTTAAATGGAAAAAGATTTTGTGGGGCCAGTGTATACTTTGTAAGTTTTGTTTACATTTTCAAGTAATAAATTAATTACTGTCATAAAATATTAATACATTGTCAATTAACATAGTTTAAAGCAATGGTCTTCCTTACCGTGTAACAAGAAAAAAAGACAAGAAATTCTTATTATATCAAGTTGAAAGAAAAGTTTAATTTCAATGGAAAATTTGGAATATGAGAAAATATCACAACTCATTATATTTCTCTGATTTTAATGATACGATTGTAGTTATATAAATATGTATTTTTATTCATTTAATATAAAGCTATGCATGAAAAATGCTATTATAGTGTAGTCCATGCATGAAATTACCACTATTTTTAAAACATTTTTCTCCAATGGTTTACCACTAAGTAAATAAAATAAAAATAATGATATGCAAAACAATCACAATATAAACATTCAAGAGATACAGCTTCTCATTATCACAGTTGTACATGATATCTTTTGATATGAACATTTAATTCTTGCATCATTATACAAATAAATGCATACTTAAGCTAAATTATGCAGCACCTTACTCTATAATTAAATGACATCTTTTAACTCACAATGAAGCTTAAAAGATTACTCGGTTGTTTAGGATATTTTATTGATATAGTAAATCTTTTTCTCATTCAAACAGAAAGTTTTCCTTTATAATGTAAGTGTAATTACCGAAGTTGTTTGAATTAATAAAGCAAAAATGTAATAAAAACTCCATATAAATTACACAAACATTCAAGCTATTTGAGCAATAAAAAAGTCAAAAATATAAAAGTAAGTGTGTGAGGTTAAACTTACTGACTAGAAACTTTTTAACAACTAAAATATTTCTAGTTAAACAGTAATATGTACACTATTATACACATAACCACTTAGGCTTCCCTAAGTTTCAACTTTCTCTCATTTGAGAAATCAAATAATTTATAAGACAATAAAATTGCATTAATCCTTCATCAATTGCAAAATAAAAACAACAATCTTACCATTCATTAACATACTTGGAGCCATCCACACAGAAAATTACTTGAGTACATTGAATTAATTAATATGATAAAAGTACTGTATGTACTTCTACCACAATAGACTCAACAGGGACTAAATGAACAAGGTTTATAACGGCAGTAAGTCATAGAAATAATTACAATTACATGGTTTTTTAAATTGTTTTTTATCCAATGTATAAAATTACTTTTAAAGTCTATTTTGTTATATTCAATATACACGTATTTAAAGTCTTTGTTTTAAAGAATACCGCACACAGTTAAAACTATTTGCAGGATTCTTTGATAAGAAGTTTCTTTTACAACTACATATCAATATTGTCATACCCTGACAAGTTTAACAAACTCATTTGGTGGTTTTTTCCCATAGAATAAATCCAGTGAATTCAAATTGATCACAACTTATTTTGATTAAATACAGTAACTCCTTTAGTCATTGCGCACCCTAGCGGATGATCAAAAATTATCTTAGAGAAGTGCTATTAAAATAATGGAGACAAAGGTTATGGTCTCTTATATCTCCCCATCCTCCATTAGGCTTTGGGTCTCGTAGCTTGAACCTTGAGTCCCCAGCTATGGAGACGGCATTAGGAAATAGATGCTTGTGATTCTCTGCCAGTTTTGTCTCCACTTGCTTCACCACGTTGTCAGGGTAACAGTTGCTGGACTTTTTGTGCATTCCACTGAAACATTACATGTTTTATTGTAGGGTTAAAAGTATCTTTTTGTAAGAAATCAAATTAAAAACAAGAATACATTAATATATACTTTTACTAACAGAATGCATAGATTATAATGATTTGTAAAAAGAGTATATACCATTCAGTAATAAGGCTACTTGTAATTTTTTTAAAAGTCAAAAACTTACCACTCCCCAACATGAAATATTCTTGAAGCTTTCATTACCAAGAGCTTGATTTTGTCTGGAATACATTTCATACTCAAATGTTGTAATGTCCAGTCCCAATTGTAATCATCAAATGTGCAGAATTCCTGATGAAAGATGTTCAAAATACATCAAGTTTTACAATCATCTCTAACTTAAACATATAAATTAACAAACAAATACTAAGATAATCTAAAATTTCTTTAAAATTAAGGCTACTGAGTTTGATCCTAACTTAAAACATCTTAACTACAAGTATAATTACATATGTAAATCTTTACAGCATTTTAGTCATTATAAAATTATTCAAACTTAAAATATTTTTAGCATAGCGGCACAGGCAAAATGTTATGGAAAACACAGATTTTAACATGTAACATTTTGATTATCCAAATATTATCTCAGTAAAATTTCTTCTTCTAAAAATCTCTATACAAAAAGTTTGTGTAAGATATTGGAGACTTACATTAATACACTTCTTTATTTCCAACCAGACAGAGCGGTTAAAGGTCATACCCATGTTATGTTTTGATGAGACCCAGAAAGCCCTCTCTGCCTACAAGAGGAAGAATAGTAACAATAGTAGCACTGATACCATATTTTAAAAGTTATATATATATACATGAGGGGTGATTTAAAGGCAGTTTGTGAATACATCGATCGAATTTGAAGAGCTATCAAAGATTTGTCAACAATTTTTTTAAAGTTTACAATAATAAATAATAAACTTAATGGCATGAAATTAGTTAAATATAAAAAATATTTCCTTATTTGTTCAAATTATCTTGAATAGCTCAAATACATGCATATAAAACTACCCAATAGTATACAGCCTACATTAAATGATGAAGATCAATGAGAAAATGAAGAAACAAGAATCAGACATAACTTACCTTGGCGCCATTGGAATCATAATTTTGATTTTTATCATAGTTTCCCAGCACCAACATTCGACAGTCTGGACATTCTCTACAAGGTAAAGATATCAACACATGTGTAAGCAAATTTAAAAAGTTACAAGAAAATACTTTGAATAAACAAACATCCTGTAAACATGGTTTAATAGCAAGGCATTAAATGAGACTAACCTAACAATTAGATGTAAATAAAACAGGTAAACTGCTGTACAAACCTTTCCCTGAGTCCTCTCAACATGTGAGTGGAGAATATGATATCCTCAGATAGATAGTAATCATCTTCCAGTAGCATGACATTGCCTTCATAATTTTTCATCAACACTAGATCTTCAAACAAGTGATGCAGCTGAGAGGAAAAAAAACACACATCTCACCATGGTAGTCAAGTCACATTAATCTTAATGTATGTGTTTACAAGACATAATCACCATGGTAGTCGAGTCACATTAATCTTAATGTATGTGTTTACAAGACATCATCACCATGGTAATCAAGTCACATTAATCTTAATGTATGTGTTTACAAGACATAATCACCATGGTAATCTAGTAAAAAAAATCTTGATGTATTCACATCATAACAAATAAGCTTGACGTGTGCATTTTTAATGCATTCATTTATTCATATAATTAGGTAAAGGATGGATGTTTCCACAAATAAAAGATCAATAGGCTACCATAATTTTCTCAATGCACACCAAAACACAGAATGTCTAGAAATCATTGATAATGTTGCCTACCCCACCTAACTACAGCAGAAAAGTAACAAACAATTATTGATGATTGACTTTTAATGTTTTTAATTATCTCAAGGTATAAAATCTTAGAATGGTTTTAAGTGATGTCAAACTAACCTTCCAAATCCAGTGATGTTTGGCCTGGCAATACTTAGCTTCTCTGTAGTGGCCATATTTGTCAGGATGCTCTGCATTGTTACACTTCAATGCCACAGCTCTGTCAGATATTAACACAGAGACATTTTAAAGATATTTACATATAAAGCAGTACTTTTAAATAAATGGCAACAAGAACCTATTTTTAGACAGTACCAAATTAGAAGAAATACTGACAAACTTTCAGCTATCACAAAAGGTTAAAGTACTGAAATAAGCAACAATTAAAAATAGTAAAATGGATTAAAAGAAGAAGTAACAGAAATATAAAAAAACAACTTACTCTTCTTTCTTAACATTACGAGGACAGTCATTAGGGTGCTCACCAGGAAACTCATTCTTATAGATTTGTTGAGCATAGGGGAAAAAAATCTGCATCACCTGCAGGTATAAATAAATAATTTGTCAGTGAGTGAGTGAGCCAACTAAGATAGGAAAGTGAATGCTGATTTAGGCACAAAATGGTTGAACATTTAAGGGGGATGGTGGGTTTTTTTTTTAAACTCTAGGACTGTTTTAATTTAGACTTGATGCTCAGTCTGATTATATATATATATATATATATATATATATATATATATACACACAGACACAGACACATTATATATACATTATATATACATTATATATATATATATATATATATATATATATATATATATATATATATATATATATATATATATATATATATATCAGTTTAACAAAATGGAAAACCACCCCTTTACATATATAAACCATTATTTCAGCTTAAAAAGTAAAAATAATAAGCAATATAAAACACACAAAACTAACCGGACAAAAATCCACTGATTCAATTAGATCATTCAGTTGTTGAGAATATACATCATGACTGACTATCAACAAACTCTTCTCAATATCTTTCACTTTCCTCATGGAATCTAGGAGTATTTTCAAATAGTCTGGTCTGTCATGTGTCTGAATTACAATGACCAGACTGTTTGGACCCAAGTCTATGCCAAATTTATCCAAGTTATGCACATACTGCTCTGTATTGATTCTTATTACTTCCAGCTTAAGGGCATCTGAGTCATTCATAGAAATATTGCGATGATATCTGTAAAAAAAATAAAATACATCTGGGTCATTCATAGAAATCTAAAAAATAAAATAGATCTGGGTCATTCATAGAAATATTGCGATGATATCTGTAAAAAATAAAATACATCTGGGTCATTCATAGAAATATTGCGATGATATCTGTAAAAAAATTGAATACATCTGGGTCATTCATACAGATATTGGGATGATACCTAAAAAAGATCTGGGTCATTCATAGAAATATTGCGATAAGTAGAAAAATTAAAACGCATTTTAAAATATATAAATGGGTGTGTGTGTAGAAGTCATTAAGCACATGACTCTCGCCCAAAGGTCAAGAGGAGCTCAAGCCCACAAAATACCCCAGAATGCTGAGGTCAAATCAACTAACTCTTATCATTGGAACTTCAGACCTGAGTGTTTTTTTACATTATATAATACTTGTTCTCAAGATGTGATGTTAAACAAAAAATGTTCTAGCTTTTGCTACAGCAAATACTATAGTTCTAAGTTGGACAGGTAAATGAAATAGCTGGAAACATGATTCCTACTCACCTGAGTTGATTGTTTACAGTACTGTTGGTTTCATTCATGACTCTGGGTGCTATGACAACACTGTGCTTTGATGTAGAAGATGTGTGGTCACTGCTAAGCTGCACATGAAACTCTGATCCAGTGCTTTGATGTAAACTTTTTGCCCTCTCCTCACTGAAATAGCAAATTAAGATTCTATAATAGAAAACACCAACAGCTGAAGTTTGCCAATCTGCTAGACCAGACTCCATGTTACTTTTTTAGTTCATTGACAAGTGCTATGGTTGGCTGAATGTCAGACGGTGAATTATTCTAGGCACCTAACTATCCCAGGCACTAATGAATTTAGGGCTCCTAACTATCCCAGATACCTAACTATCCCAGGCACTAATGAATTTAGGGCTCCTAACTATCCCAGATACCTAACTATCCCAGGCACTAATGAATTTAGGGCTCCTAACTATCCCAGATTTAGGAGTGGTCTAGCGGTAGAGTGCTGGACTACTATCCCGTAAGTCTCGAGTTCGAATCCGGGTTCAAGTCAGTAGACCGTCCTAGAGTCCACCCAACTCTGATGGGTAACTAACTCACGTTAGGGAAAGTAAAGGCGGCTGGCCATAGTGCTGACCACACTATCTCTTCATATGCCGAGGTCACAGAAACAAGAAAACTCTACTACACTTGCCCCATAGACCGTCAGGTTTGAAAGGGAATCTTTTTACTATCCCAGATACCTAACCACCCCAGGCACTAATGAATTTAGGGCTCCTAATTGTACAAGGTACCTAACTTTTCAAGGCACTAATTATCCCAGATACCTAACTATCCCAGGCACCTAACTATTACAGGTACCGAACATCTATAAGACCAAGCTAGATGTGAGTCACCTACCTGCTCTTTGCTCTAGGTGTGTTGTAGAGCACATGGAGGTTGAGCATGACAAACACCACCATAGTTGTCACCAGAAAAAAGCGCAGCGAGCGCCGTAATGAAAGGCGCATGACAGCACCACACCAGGGTGAGCAGCTGCTAAGCCCTATGCCAGGCTCAGCTTGCCCTAGAAGCTGAAAGAAGAAATACACAGTTATTATAATTTTAAATAATAAATATGAGAAGCTGAAAGTAGAAATACACAGGTATTATAATTTTAAATAATAAACATGAGAATCTGAAAGTAGAAATACACAGTTATTATAATTTTAAATAATAAATATGAGAAGCTGAAAGTAGAAAAACACAACTATTATAATTTTATATATTCAATATGAGAATCTGAAAGTAGAAATACACAGCTATTATAATTTTAAATAAGAAAAATGAGAAGCTGAAAGTGAAAGTAGAAATACACAGCTATTATAATTTTAAATAAATAGGCCAACAACATTTGGTTGCATCCAAACAGAACTGTTTTCAACATTACTTCCAGTGTATATTTATGAAAACCAAACTATTTTAAAATTTCAGCTTTTTAGTTTAATTTTAGATGTTTATTGTATACTTAAAAAAAAACAAATTTTTTTTTCAAAATTGATAAACTTAAATTGTACATAATTATTTTATTTTTAAAGATTTACCAGGTTTCATTTTGTGTTTTTTTTTCAAGACTAGAAATGTAACATAAAACCAGAGCTTTTACTGTATGAGCAAGAAAAAATTCTATTGTTATTCATTAATTGATAAAACAAGAAGTTGTGTGGTTATATTATATCATACTATTAATTTACTTTAAGCATTAGGTGATGTTAACATATAATAGAATAAAACTTGTAATTCTATGTATCTTTAAAAGGAGGGCTAATCTGATACAGGGAAACATAAGCAGGTTGTGACCTTTGCCAAACATTGTCAGCATCACAACACAATATTGTGAGGGCTGAAAGAAGGCCCAATTTACCAGAACATGACCATCTGTGTGTATTCTATAATAAATGATGTAAGGGCTAAAAGATGGGCCAATTTACCAGAACATGACCATCTGTGTGTATTCTATAATAAATTATGTAAGGGCTAAAAGATGGCCCAATTTACCAGAACATGACCATCTGTGTGTATTCTATAATAAATTATGTGAGTGCTGAAAGAAGGCCCAATTTACCAGAACATGACCATCTGTGTGTATTCTATAATAAATGATGTAAGGGCTAAAAGATGGGCCAATTTACCAGAACATGACCATCTGTGTGTATTCTATAATAAATTATGTAAGGGCTAAAAGATGGCCCAATTTACCAGAACATGACCATCTGTGTGTATTCTATAATAAATTATGTGAGTGCTGAAAGAAGGCCCAATTTACCAGAACATGACCATCTGTGTGTATTCTATAATAAATGATGTGAGGACTGAAAGAAGGCCCAATTTACCAGAACATGACCATCTGTGTGTATTCTATAATAAATGATGTAAGGGCTGAAAGAAGGCCCAATTTACCAGAACATGACCATCTGTGTGTATTCTATAATAAATGATGTAAGGGCTAAAAGATGGCCCAATTTACCAGAACATGACCATCTGTGTGTATTCTATAATAAATTATGTGAGTGCTGAAAGAAGGCCCAATTTACCAGAACATGACCATCTGTGTGTATTCTATAATAAATGATGTAAGGGCTAAAAGATGGGCCAATTTACCAGAACATGACCATCTGTGTGTATTCTATAATAAATTATGTGAGTGCTGAAAGAAGGCCCAATTTACCAGAACATGACCATCTGTGTGTATTCTATAATAAATGACTCTCAACCTAGAAACCCTGCTAATCAAATCCAGAGATGACTAGCAATCTTTACATCTAATCAAATTTAGAGATTCCAAACAGAGAGGCAGAAAATATACAAACTACAATACAAAATAGCAATAACAAGAACTAAATATTGTCATAGTCTGATGATTAGATAATGCCACCTTGTAAATCAAGGCCTGGGCAGCAGAGTTTAGAAGAGCCAGATGTTGCCCATGTATCAGACCCCCTCTCTCCTGATGGACCCATGGGACAGGACCTATACAACTTGGCATCAGGAGCAGCAGAAAAGAAGCCAGTGTTGGTATTCCTATGCCTAGAGGGCTCCTGTTTGATTTAGGAGTTGTCTCTCCTGATTGGTAGCTGTCCCAGACTAGCAAACCTCATCTGAAGAAATAACTAAATGTCCCTTATGAGTAAACTAGGCATACTGCCTAGCTTCGCTTAGGTTTTCAAAAAAGTTGAGAAATTGAATGATTAATTAATAGGCGATTGGCTGTTATATTAAATGTCTAAATTTATACAGTGGGGTACTTTTTTAGTACCCATTAATTGATAGAATATTCGCAACTTATTACTCGCAAGGTTATTAGAACTGAAAGGGCTTTCATAAAAATTATCAATCAAATATTATATTAAATTACTTTTGCAATTAATTTTACAATTACAATACAATACAAAACTTAATTTATAACACAATATCCATTTAAAACAATGCTATACTTTATGATTTTTGTTTTTTCTTAAAAAGAGTATACAAAATATTAAAAAACGAGAAAAATGGCCCGTTGAGGAAGGATACACCGGGCGCTAGGCTGATAGTGCTGTCTCTTTTCTCTAAACTAAAAACCACCCCCCCCCCACACCCCCCACCCACCCCACACCCCCACACACACCACCCCCCACCCACACACACACCACCCCCACCCCCCCCACCCCCCACACCCCAAAAAACATGTATACCGTCCCATTCAACGAAATATAATTATATACTTTTTCCAGTGTCCGCCCCCTCCCCGAAAATTCTACCCCCGCCCCCGAAAATTTCCAGTACCCCCACCCCTCTCCGGGGAGGAAAAAGTCTAAACTAAAACCACTCCACCCCCCACACACACCACCCCCCCCCCACCCCCCACACACACCAACCCCCCCCCCCCCCACACACACACACACCACCCCCCACCCCCCCCCCCCCCCCCCAAAAAAAAAACATGTCTACCGTCCCATTCAACGAAATATAATTATATACTTTTTCCAGTGTCCGCCCCCTCCCCGAAAATTCTACACCCGCCCCCGAAAATTTCAAGTACCCCCACCCCTCTCCGGGGAGGAAAAATTCTAAATTAAAACCACCCCACCCCCCCCCCCACACACATCCCACCCCACCCCACACACACCACCCCCCCCCCCCCACACACCGCCCCCCCCCAACCCTCCACCCCCCCCCCCCCCCAAAAAACATGTCTACCGTCCCATTCAACGAAATATAATTATATACTTTTTCCAGTGTCCGCCCCCTCCCAGAAAATTCTACCCCCGCCCCCGAAAATTTCAAGTACCCCCACCCCTCTCAGGGGAGGAAAAAGTCTGAAAGAAACACTGAAACCAACCCACCCCCCACACACCACCCCCCACCCCCACCCCCCACCCCCCACCCCCCCCACACACACCACCCCCCCACCCTTTCCACCCCCCCCCCCCCCCACCCTCCCCAATAAAACATGTCTACCGTCCCATTCAACGAAATATAATTATATACTTTTTCCAGTGTCCGCCCCCTCCCAGAAAGTTCTACCCCGCCCCCGAAAATTTCAAGTACCCCCACCCCTCTCCGGGGAGGAAAAAGTCTGAAAGAAACACTGGTGTCGCGCTTAGCCACTACCCGAAGAATTGCATTAAAGAAATTGCAAGAAAACCACTTTTTAGATTAGACACATTAATTAGGCGGTAATTTTATTATAGAGTATCGATGAAGAAATTTCTTTTGAGTCAGGGAGGGGGGGGGGGGGGGCTCAGACGTTCTTACGCGGGGGTGGGGCTTCGCCCCTACCCGAAGAATTGTATGAAAGAAACTCTTCACGCAAACCACTTAGATAAGACAAAATTTCCTTTTTATTCAATGTTTACGCGAGAATCAATGACGTCATATTACTGTGTGCACTCTCTGGTTTGAGATTATGTTCTACTCTATGCTAAATGTGTCGACGTCATATTTCGTTTTTCGAATTACTGTGCATGTTTTTATTTTGCTTGTGTTTTCTCTAGAGCGTTCTTGTCAGACAGAGCGTTCTTGTCAGACAGAGCGTTCTTGTCAGATAGACAGACAGACAGCGAAACTATTAGTATTAATTGTTACATTAAAAAGTTACCTCCCCTGCTCATAGACCAATTGACCAAATTTCGTATAATGAGAATTTCACTCGCAGTCATTTTTAGCCCTCTTCGAGGGCTTTGATGCTGACCAACAGTTTTTCCATACGGCCCAGTCATCTATAGAGGTGTATGCAAAAAATTAGCCAGTAATACAAAGAGTAAGTACCCTAAAATTTGTGTAGAAATTACCCTGTTTTCCCCATAAAATACAATGTTTATATAGGGAAATACAACTGGTCAGTTTTGACCCATTTCCCGATTTTTTCCAGACATGGCGAGTTTTTTGTGACACCCCCAGGCATTCTCCTACCACCTCACAAAATTTCAAGGGGGGTCGTCGGAGGAAATTTTTTTCGTAATATAGCTCATATATTGAGAATTTCACTCGCGGTCACTTTTTAGCCCTCGTCGAGGGCTTTGAGTGTAACCGACAGTTTTCCCTAAAGGTCAAGCCATTGACCTAGGAGCATGCAAAAAATTAGCCAGATATACTGAGCTTAAGTACCCTAAAGTCTGCGTTGAAATGACCCTCTGTTTTTCCCATAAAATACAAAGATTATATAGGGAAATACAACTGGTCAGTTTTGACCGCTTTACGAAGTTTTCCCAGATATGCCGAGTTTTTTGTGACACCCCTGCGTGTTCTTCTACCACCTCACAAAATATCAAGGGGGGTCGTCGGAGGAAATTTTTTTTCGTAATAGAGCTCATATAAAGAGAATTTCACTCGCTGTCACTTTTTAGCCCTCGTCGAGGGCTTTGAGTGTAACCGACAGTTTTCCCCAAAGGTCAAGCCATTGACCTAGGAGCATGCAAAAAATTAGCCAGATATACTGAGCTTAAGTACCCTAAAGTCTGCGTTGAAATGACCCTCTGTTTTTCCCATAAAATACAAAGATTATATAGGGAAATACAACTGGTCAGTTTTGACCGCTTTACGAAGTTTTCCC